CCAGGTAAAAAGGCGCGAATCTATTGTCTGCCGTTGCTGTGACGGCGGGGGAGGGGCCTGACGCAATGTACCCAGAACCCCTCGCGGCACTGCTTTGCATCATCCGGGCATTGCGATCTCAACCCGTAATTCCAATGGGCGCCAGAGGCTCCGGGAACTGTGGGATAGGTACCATAGTGCAATGCGCCGGAAGTCGACGCTAGCCTCGGTACTGTGGACGCGGTCCGCCGACTTCATGCACTTAGAGCATTTTAGGTGGGGACACACACAATCGGCTGCATACAACCGGTTTCTATAAAACCGGCTTCTATAAATCCGACCTAATTCTGTAGTGTAGACATAGCCCTAGAGCTGTCGGTGGACACCCCAATTCCACTCCCGTTGTGGCCAGACCTGATCACTGAGGATCACGGTCAACTCTGTCATCCTGACCTGCAATCTCTCCACCTCACAGCATGGATGCTGCATGGCTAAATCAGTCTGAGCTGTGCTGTTCTCACTGGGTTCAGCAGATTCTTTTGGGTAGCAGGAAGCCTTCTACCAGGTCCACATACTTAGCCAAGTGGAAGCGTTTTTCCTGCTGGTGCGCTCGGAATCATACGACCCCCCTACAGGCGTCAGTACCTATCATCTTGGACTACCTCCTGTCCTTAAAGCAGCAGGGCTTGGCAATATCTTCCATCAAGGTGCACCTGGCAGCTATTTTGGCTTTCCACCCGGGCGAAAATGGGCGCTCGGTCTTCTCCAATCCCATGGTCAGCAGATTTCTCAAGGGGTTGGACCGCCTGTTCCCACGAATTCGACAACCGGTCCCTACATGGGATCTTAACGTGGTCCTATCCAGACTCATGGGTGCCCCGTTGGAGCCGATGGCCACCTGCTCGCTCCTGTACCTTTCCTGGAAGACAGCCTTCCTCGTAGCTATCACCTCGGCGAGGCGCATGTCTGAGCTCAGGGCACTCACATTGGAACCACTGTATATGGTGTTCCACAAGGACAAGGTACAGCTGCGACCCCACCCGGCCTTCCTCCCTAAGGTGGTGTCTGCCTTCCATGTAAACCAGGACATATTCCTCCCTGACTTCTACCCGAGGCCTCTCGACGGGAGCAACAGCTGCACTCCCTGGATGTTTGCAGGGCCCTGGCCTTCTACATCGAGCAAATGAAACCCTTCAGGAAAAAGTCACTGCTGTTTGTTGCTGTGGCAGACCAGATGAAGGGCCTTCCGGTCTCCTTCCAGCGCATCTCGTCCTGGATCATATCATATATATGCATCCGTGCATGCTATGACTTGGCTGGTGTCCCATCTACGCACCTTACCGCCCACTCCACACAGGCTCAGGCTTCATCCTCTGCTTTCCTGGCGCATGTGCCCATACAGGAGATATGTAGGGCAGCGACTTGGTCATCGGTGCATACCTTCGCTGCCCACTATGCGATAGTGCAGCAGTCCAAGGGTGATGCTGCATTTGGTTCAGCGGTCCTTCACTCTGTGACATCTCACTCTGACCCCACAGCCTAGGTAAGGCTTGGGAGTCCCTAATTGGAATTGATATGAGCAAGCACTCGAAGAAGAAAAGATGGTTACTCACCTTTGTAACTGTTGTTCTTCGAGATGTGTTGCTCATATCCATTCCAAACCCTCCCTCCTTCCCCTCTGTCGGAGTAGCCGGCAAGAAGGAACTGAGGGGGCGCTGGGTTGGCCGGGGCATATATCCGGTGCCATAAAGGCGCCAATCCAGGGGGCTCCTCAGACGACCCACCGAGTGTTGCTAGGGTAAAAATCTCCCGACAATTATGCACGCGGCGAGCGCACACCTAATTGGAATGGATATGAGCAACACATCTCAAACAGTTACAAAGGTGAGTAACCGTCTCTTTCAGGTGCTTGGACAACTATTTCCAGTTCAGTAGTTTTACTTTCTTTAACACGTTGATGGCAAACATACTGCTTAATATTTATGTAATTTAAATAATTCTAATATTTAAGTTTAGGCCTTAGTATAAGTTTTCATAATTTCTAATATTTTAAATGTTTTTAAAACAGAAAAATGTGTTTAATTTAAACTTAAAAATAAAATTTAAATAGATTTTTAAAAATTATTTTTCTTTCATCATGGATTTTTATCTACCCTGTTGTTACTGTTACTTAGTGATTCAGGCATGTTTACCTCTTGAACCAATTCCTGCATACTTATCAATTTGTCCAATAAAATAATCATGTGCGTCTTTTTCAATAAAAAAGTTTTATGCCAACTTATAATGTATGCATCTTTTTCATAGCTAAATAATGTATATTTATATACCCAGTTAACATGACAAACTGTAATAGTACTTAAAAAGTCATTGTGGGAATACTAAATTATTACTGCCCTTTGGGAAAATAGAAAAATATTTGTATTAGCATTGATATTTGAGGAAGAAGCAAGCAACTTAAACCATCTGCTGCCTTTTACACAAATAAATACACAAATCTGCAGTCTTCTGTCCCAAAAGGTCTTCCTTTCAGGTGTAATCTGTACATCAGCTAAAAGCAGTATCTTGCCTTAATAATTGTAGTGCATAGTACAAATTATTTTTAGCCCAATAGAAGGCTTTACATTACCTGCCTTGTCAATACTTTAAAATGCAGCACATTTACTAAATCCTTGTCTCTAAGATGTTGCATGAACAGAAATCATTTGGGTTTTTTATAAGTGAAAATGTTTAAATGCTAGGGATTAAAGTTATGTAGGAGCACTGTTGCCCCTTCTGCTGAAAACAAAGCAAAAGAGCCCTCTCTCCTCCTTTGCTTCTGTAAGCAGTACCTCCACCCCCAGCCCCACCGCCCCTTCCTTCATGCAGTGACACTTTCCCCTCTTATTGCAGTTTACTTTAACTTCTGTGTACAGTATTGCTATGCTGAGTAGAAATTAGCAGGCACAAATGTTCAGTAGTGTTTGGTGTGCTGAGAAAATTTGAATCGATGTGAACAGTACAAAGCTATTTGTTCAAAGAGAATGTTAATGACACTTACTCATTATTGTAAGTTACTCTAATACACAACGCTAATTTACTGGAAAAATCCTCCACCTAGAATATGCACGTGTTACATAGTCAGAAATAGCAAAACAAACCCAGTTTTTTGAGAAGTGCACTTTAGTCTTTTGCATGACTATTTCATGACTTGACTGAAAAAGTCTCCAGAAAAGTGCTCCTGTTTTTTTCTTTGAAAAAATATGATTACCTGAGGCATCCATTATAAATGATTGCTTAAATTCTAAATAATTACGTTTTTCACATTCATTTCAATCTCCTAATAAACCTAAAATTCAAATACTAATAATACATTCAAATCAATCTGTTGTTTCATTTAACTTGGATATCTCTAGAGTCCAAATTGGTAGTCAACTGATTTATCATTTAGTAAATTCTAAACTACATCATTAGACTATTTTAAATTGGTTGTTAGTGATTTAATTGGTAAGGTGAGATGAATCCTTGAGTTAATGGAAACCTGAGTTGATCACTTTCAGTAGTAGTAGTCAGGTCTGAGGATTAACAACTGTAAAGGAAAGAATACCGAATGTGCAGGCTGGTCTGCCTATGTGAAAAAGGCGTACCTATTGTTTCATACTGGCCACTTTAATTATTGTATAGTCTATAGACTGTGGAAAGTGCAGACTGTTCTCAATCAAACTATGAAAAGTTAGGTTGTCATAAAATTATTCTCTGTCAACATGTAATCACTGAAAGTAAGCACACAGCACATACTTTTAAAAATATCTTTCATTTAACATATAGTATTGTGCCTTAAGATTTTGTTGTTTTTTTCCTTAGCAAATGATAGACTATATTTGGAGTCTTTATAAGGAAATATTTGTATTTTCAAATATCTTGATCGTTACTGGGTATAAGGTAATATGTTTAATGCACCTTTACCTCGATATAACGCTGTTCTCGGGAGCCAAAAAATCTTACCGCGTTAAAGGTGAAACCGTGTTATATCGAACTTGCTTTGATCCACCGGAGTGCGCAGCCCCGCCCCCCCCCCCCGGAGCACTGCTTTACCATGTTATATCCGAATTCGTGTTATATCAGGTTGCATTATATCGGGGTAGAGGTGTATTCTGATCTCTGGGTAGTTTTGTTCCTGGATTGAATGAAATTTTCTGCTGCTATAAAGGAGGAGAAAAATTCCGAAAAAAATGACAAGTGTTCCTCATTTGAGTAAGCTCTCTTTCATGGATTGCCTCTCTTCAGTTACGTAGGCAGATATTTGCAGGTTGGGGTGAATGAACTTTCCTTTGGTTGTATTTGGAGCCAAATAGGCTCTATCCATTTTTTGTTTGTTCAGTTTTACCTATACACCAAGTAATTTTGGGATCCATTCAGAAAGAAAGCTCATTGGATTGGAATTTTCTACTTCAGGGCGTCTCAGATGTAATACATTGAGTTGACATATATCCAGCTTTATCGTTTGAGTAGGCAACTTTCTTTTCCAAGAGCTGCAGACAGGTGTGCTATTATTTGAGCCAATTCTAATGCTGCTACTAGTGCACTTGTTTGCTGGAGTCAACCTGCCCTTTTGAGTGAGTTGGTCTAAAGAGGATTGCAAAGATATTTTGATTTTTGAGCCAATTCAGATGCTGCTATTCTTGTATTCATTGGAGTCAAACTGCCCTTTGAATTAGTTGCCGTAAGGAGGACTGCAGAGAGATTTTTATTTCTGAAAGTGTGCTATCCAATACTGAGGGAAAATTTAAGTTAATTTCTTATATGATCTTAGTGGCCACTGTGCTTTTGCCATCCTGATTATCTTCCTGATCTGTTGCCACTGGGATGTGAGTTTTGATATCAAATTTATTTGGATTGTCTCCCTTAACGCTCAAAAAGTAGTCAATATTGGTTGAAATAAGGATCTGAAAAGGTGCCAACCAGTTCAGACTCAGTGCTCAACTCCTCAGTAATACTCAAATTATACATTACACATACTAACATTTGTTTTTTCTTCTTTTTAGCTGGTTGGTGGAGAGTTTGATCTAGAGATGAACTTTATAATCCAGGATGCAGAGAGCATAACGTGTATGTCAGAGCTTTTAGAACACTGTGATGTAACATGCCAAGCAGAAATCTGGAGTATGTTCACAGCCATTCTACGAAAGAGTGTCCGTAATTTACAGACCAGCACAGAAGTTGGCTTAATTGAACAGGTACTGCTGAAGATGAGTACGGTGGACGACATGATTGCAGGTATAAATTACTGATTGATATGTATAAATTCAGTGTTCTTGAACACTCAAGTGTTGCAAGCATAGTCATTATTTACATTTCAAAAACAGTAAATTATTTTATTAGTATTGATACTGAGTCAACAGTACTAAATCAACTTTATCGAAATGTAATGGGCAAAGATTGTAAAATACTCTGGTTTTAGAACTAATGTTGAAATAATTTACCGGTAGTTAGTATGCACAATTCTTTTAAAAAGAAAATAGATTACTGCCTGATCTTAGTGACAAAATAAGACACCTTTCAATATATCTCATAAGAGCATCTCTGACGCTTATTCTCAGTTTCTAAAAACAATATTCATTGCTATGAATTATTACATAGTAAAAGAATTGAACCATTATTATGGCCCACTTAAATAATAAATAGTACAATATTCTTTGTGATAAAAACCAAGAGAACACTAGAAATGTTCATATTTATTGAATATTGTATTTTTGGACTGTATTAAGCAGTTTTATTTTAGTTTCTATACTTCAATTTTTGCCTGTCTTTTAAAACATCTGTGCTCTTTATAGCCTCTCTTTAATTTTCATGTCAGATGGCTTATATCCGTTTTTAATCTTGTCTATTTTTTTTTGAGTATTCCCTGTTTCCTTCTACTAAAACATAGCATACTTTATTTGCACATCTATAAGAGTCTGGGATTACAGAAGATGTTGCCTGTCTGAGGCTTCCAATTTATTCATACCCTCAGTATCTGGAGATTATTCTGTTTTCTTACTTGAAAGTAATCTGAGATACTCTGGTTAGAAGGGTAGGCTAAGCTTCCACTTTTAGAATGTGATCAGTAGGATTTACAGAACTAATTTTTCACTCATTACAGTTGTTGGGGCGGTGCAGGAGAAATTCAAAAGGCCATCTTGTCTTCATCAGCTTAGGGTTCAGTAACTTACTTTTTGATCTTATGTATTTTAGTACTGTGTTTGAGAGTAGTGTACTTGACCTAAAAAATAGTGAAATTTTTGAAGGGTTGAATAGTTTTTCTTTCCATAAATTCTAGCTGATTTACAAATAGTTGCTAAGTGAAAGGATATATAGGTGGTTATTTTATTTTTAGTGACCAGATATGTGCTAGCTGCTTTACAGAAGAAGTAAAAATATGGTACCTGCCAAAAGGAATTTTGATTCTAAATTTAGATGAGTCCTTAAGTGAAGACGCTATAATCAAGAGAGGAGTTGGGGAAAGGATGATGGTAACAGCAGTGTGAAAATGTGTTTACTGAGACTTGTGAATCTTGGTGGGTTTAGTAAATATAAAATTGAATGTAATACTAAATCTTCATAAACGGCCCCATTTAATATGTTCAGAGTAAGTGCCTTTGTGAGATGCCTAGCACATTTTGGGTCCTTATCAGTATGTTTTAAAATAGTAAATGATTTGTTCTTTTCAGTCTGAGTGAATTTGCTGCTCATAATTCAAGACTACCCATCAAATCATATTGCTACTAAGTAGCAGTAATAGGTACCCACTGCTAACATCTCTGAGAAACATGCTGCATAGTCTTGTGCCCCCTCAAGTAAATGCTTAAGCCAGTAGACGATATTCTGTGGTGTGAAGAACCAAAAACTCAAGCAGTAGCAGATCAATATAGTCACACGGCCAAAGATGCACCGTTACATATGCCCTGTGACCAACCTTTCAAAGTGTTAAAATGGTACACAAGGAAAGGGGCAGTCAAGTTCTACCTGTAAAGGGCATTATTCTGTAAAAACTAACATTTTGGTTCCTTGACTGAAACGTATAAGAAACGAGTGCAGTAAATATAATGTGCTCACAAAACCCTGCTCCACTAAGAAAGCAAACAAGCCATTGAGTTCTCCACTTTCCAGATAGTCTCAAGGGTAACTCTGATGAGGCACATATAACTATGATGTTGGCACCATCATAGGGAAAGAGTAGAAACAGCCTAAGTAACTGAAGATGGCAGAAGACAGTGTAATATTTGGGATCTAGAAGCAGTTGGGAATCAAAGACCCATGAGGTTGCAAGTATTGATAAGACTGGCATACCTCATCAGTAAAGGGAGTGGATACCTACTCCATTAATTTTATAAGAATGCTTTTTCCTGCCTATCAGCAGCATTTCAGAGAAGGTTTTTAAGAGAGAGCTTTGGCAAGTTTGCTTTTATCTCTGCTCCTATGAAAGTGGAAGAGTGGAAACTACTCTACAGATCTGATTAAAAAACAAAGTATAAGAATTCTGATGACACTGCAGCTCAGAATGTATGCCAGTCACTAGTAAAACCCCCATGAATGTGCTGTTTAATTCCTGTCCACAATAACTCTGCTGGACTCTTCATGAGAGAGCCATATGGGTGGATGAGTCACCTATTGGACCTTTGAAAGAAAGAAACAGACACACCAGAGTTAGTTGCTTTGCGTCTACTTCTCCAGTTTCTGCAGATGTATCACTACCACCTCATGGTCAATGGTGGCATTGGCTACTAACAAATCAAAAATGAATGAACATGGGTACCTAATAGCTGATCATCACCAGGAGGCTATTGCCTAACAATAACGAATGCCCTAAGCTAGCCTGATGTATAGGGATCAAGGTTGACAGGAGGACTCCAGATGGTGCCAGAGCTGCTTTGCTACAATCATTCCTATTCACTTTCCCAAAATGGTGAGGTGAAAAATGTGGTGGTATAGTAATTGTCTGTTTCCAAGCATTCAGTGAGGATCTTTTGAACAAGAGCCAAACCATTGCTTAGTTCTAGGACGTTGATACCACTTTCTTCCAAAATAGTCACAAAATAGTGGTGGGCCTAATATTCCAACCTGGCTTGTAAAGTACAGGTATCCTTCTTGCAACTCATTAACTATGGCTCTATCTCTCTCAGTACTTCCTGAAATACTGTGATCAAAGTTGGTGTAAATCAAGTAGAAAAGATTGTCTACATTGTGTCATGTTGAGACAGCAATCTACAGTAAGTCCCAGTCCATTCTCTATATACAAAGTGGATAGAAAATACTTCATAGTGGGGGAAAAAGCTGACTTCATTTGTGTGGAGGCAATTCAGATACATGAGGTTGCCATCTACTTAAACCATTTCATGTGTTAAGATTTTTGAAGATGCTATGTCAGAGGAAATAATATCTTAATCTTCATGACAGCTTCATAGGAACACATTTTTCTGCAATCAATTGCATTGAAAAGTGGGATGACTGCCATTGGTATTTGTCTCCTTCCCAGAAACTTTGTCTGTCACAGGTCATCTAGATACCCTGACAATCTGAAGATTATACTACAGGAAGGGATGTTGAGCCATTTTATCAGTAGTTGAGGGCAAAAGATTACTATAATGACCAGATAGATAATTGGTGGATGGCCTTAACAGCTATAAAGTATTTTCCTTCAGAGAACTTTGAAAATTGAGTCCCTAAATTTTTGGGTAAGAACTAATGAAGCAAGTCTTCTGACCCAACTGTTTCTATGGATAGTATATTAGTAATAACAAAATCTGAACTGGTGTTTGCTAGCCTAACTTGTCACGCAAAGTACAGTTTACAGTTGCCTTTCCTTCATTGAGACCCATTTCACCTCCAGAAGCTCAGTTGTTATGCTGCAGGTGGTTAAGCTGCTTGAAAGTTGCTTGAACTGAATTTTGAGCACTGAAACAGTTACTATTTTTAAGCAAAAGTTAAACTAAAGTTGCTCCCACCAAATAATGCTAAAGAGGCAGCTGGGCTGCTAACAGAAATCGTTCCTGGAAATGTATCCATTTGAAAACAGTGGAAAACCTGATTGCCTTATTAAGTGAAAGTTAAACTTCACAGCCATCTGGTAAAGCTTGGTTACTAAACTTAAGGAAGCACAAGGTAGTTCCTTCTGAAGTTGTGTTGCCAATGCCTTCCATGCAGATGAACTATGAAGGGAAATGCCATGTTATCTCTCTTATCTCTCAGATGCTATGCTCAATGTTACTTTAGAGACAACTGAGCTATGTTAAAGTTTTAAGCTGTTCCTTACATGACTGAATTAAGGTTCTTTCAGTTGTGTTTATAGAGTAAATATAAGATATTAAGTACAGTTAGGGTTGCCAACCCTCCAGGATTGCCCTGGAGTCTACAGGAATTAAAAATGAATCTTTCGTTAAAGATTGTCATGTGATGAAACCTCTGGGAATACATTCAACCAAAATTGGCAACCCTAAGTACAGTTTGACAAGTGTACATGAGGTGGCAGTTACTGCAAGTAAAACCTATTACATTAATTGTTTGAAATGCATTAAAATAAGGAGAAAAGGTTTCTCTCCTCCCCCCATAATTTATAGTCTTATTTATAAAACGAGACTATAGATACATGTTAAACCTGTGTGGTATTCTTATGACTTAGTATCACATAAAATGACAAGAACCTCAGAAAAGCCATGATTTTTGACATTGCCATTCCTATATGGTGAGTGGATTAGTATGGTTATACTAAGTATGGATTAAATCTTTTCAAACAAGACTTGTGGTATGTAAGTACCAGGATTTATTAATCAAAAACCAAGCAAGAAAAAAGTTTAAGCTAACTTCAATTATATCAAAAGAAGAAATGAATCTAATTTATCTAACTCTTTTGTAACTGGAGCATGTAGCAATACCAATAATAAAAATGTCCCAAGAGTTTGCATTTTAAGGGCATTCTTCATTTGCTTATTACTTATAAAGTCCTGGGCTTGAATCTTTCAATGTTTTTTGCTCAGTGTGTATGTGATGTTGCTGTGTTTTTAAGTTTGAATGAAAACACTTCACCCCAGTTTGAGTAAAAGGAGAGTGGTGAAAAATAATTTTGCTATTATAAAAAGCAACTTTTTTGAAAAGCTCGATAGTCAGCAGTTTGAGCAGATATGTGAAATTTGCCATGGAGTGTGTCCCTGGCTAGAACATGTATTTTGATGGTCCAGTGAAGATCTATTTTAATTTTGTAATCATAAGGATTATTAAAAATATACTCTGCACATGTGTAGTAACTTGAATGATAAAGAATTTAAAAATGTGTGTCCTGTTGGTAGTGTGATAACATAGGTATCGAAGATTAATGGAATTTTTGAGGGATCTTCTGCTCTCTACCAGATACATCCATATTACACAATTTCTTTTTCTATTTTAAAAAAAAAAACCCTCAAAGTACACACAAATAATAAAAAAAGAAACTTAGAAGCAGGTTAAGGTTGCAAAGTGGAGTACTCAAAAGTCAGGGCCAAAATTGACTTGCAATCTCAACTCTGCCCCTTTCTGAAAATTCAGCGTGTTACAGTCCTTAATTACCAGACCAAATACTGTTGTTTCCTCAGGACTTCTGCTGCAATCAGGATGCAGGCTGGATGGTATGCAGTGAATGAGGCAGAACATTGATAGGAAATGGATGTGGACTCCCATAAGATGAAGAGACCACACACATCATCACTTTAAAACTAAAATATTTCTTTGATTTTTGTTTTCCCTCAATAAGCTCTTCACAAGCAGAACCCCACATACCCACTCTTGCCGGGTACATTTACAAAAACCCTCTTAACTAATGAAGTGATTTATCCTACAGGCAGGGAAAGGAAAGAGATCATTATTATTATTTCTTTATTTAAATACTTGGGAGGCGCTTGGACTCTATGGTGAAAGTGGCCATAAGTGCCTAGGTGGATTTTTTTTTTTTAATTTTTATCTTCACTGTTCAGTGAGTGAATTTGTGCATCATCAATTGTCTGTCATGCAACCTGTGCACTAAATGAGGCCTCATTCACTGCATGCTCCAATTTGCTCATTGAGAGCTATAATCTGCTCTTTCAGTGGTACAAATTCAGAGCAAATCCATTGGCTTCAGTGGATTACTCATAGTGCATACTGTGGGAATTACAAATGGAATTCACTTTAAAGTGATGCATGGATCTAGAGGACCCTATTCCTAATTACTATGCACCCATGTACCATTCAACCAGCACACAGGAGGAGGGAGTGGTTCTTTAGAAAAAACAGTGTGTGATCCTGTAATTAGGATACAGTCCTATAACTGTCTCCTGAAAACTTTCTAGGGGCTTTCCTTCAGAGTCCTGCATCATTCAGTATGCATATGTGCATCAAATAAGACAAGGTTTTTTATAAAGGTACTTATGTGCACATGTGTCAGTGCTGTTAGAACATTAGGAAATCATTTAAAAAAAATGCTTAAAGTACAATATGTAAACTATTCTAACTCAGACAACTCAAATAGATATTCATTAGACCTGTGAAATCACACATCTCGCCATTTCCCAGACTGATTTCAAGTTTCTACTCCTTCCTGCTGATGTATAAGAGCAGTTTTAAACACAGACAAAACCACATTTTTTAAAAGAGAAGGGTTTTTTTGCTGTCTACAAACTACTAAATGGCTTAAAAAATGTTCACTCACATTTTCAGAAAAAATAAATCCTGGATACAAGATCTGAAAAATTTCAGCTCAGAAAGTGAAAGTTTAGTAGTTATGATCAACTGAAAAAGGCTAGTTAGAGAAAATGTTTAGGCGTCTTTTAGCTATAACTCGTCCTATATCCTCCAGCTGTAATGCAAAATGTTCTCGTAAATTGAAGGGAAATATGGTGAACTTCCTTAGCAGCTGAAAAGTTATTTCCCAGGCAGTTTTATGACCCCAAACCAGCCATGGAAACAGAGTAGGAGAGAGGTGATCTTTGGAGATGAGGAGGAAGAGGAAAATTCTGAGTTTTGTTAGAACAAAGAATGTTATGGAGAAGGAGATGTCTGGCTAGTGAATGACCCTCAGGATGTAGAAGCATGTCTAAAATATTGGTGGATAAGGGCCCTAGTTTGCCTTAATCTGTTTGGGCTGAATCCTCTGTACATTGGAAGCTGCTCCTTGAAATTGTAATAGCCTTTTGTGTTTTCTGAGGGCCATAACTTATACTATCCTTCCTCCTGCTGTAATGGCACCTGAGGACACTAATAGCAATTCTTAGAAGTATTGGGCTTTGAGGGAAAGCAGAGAGAGCATGGAAAGAACCAGGATTCCCCAAACTATTCAAAACCTTAAAATGAGCATAAATTTTTCACTTTTTTAAAAAAAGTCTAAAATCTATTTATTAATCTTGAATGCTATTTTCTCTGAAAAGTGAATTTATTTTTATTCCTATTATCTGTATAGGTTTCTTGGTTTTTGAAATGCTCTAATGGAGGATATGTCGTCTATTAATTATTCTATAGTAATTTTTGTCACTTGTAGTGATAGACTTTAGCAGAGCCTCTTTCCCCCCTCCTGCCCCCATTGTTTGGCATTGCATTGTGGTCAAATCTAAAGTTTTCATACTTGGGTACCAAATTAAAGAAGAATGCAGAGAAATTAAATTGCAAGATGACGTAGCAAACAGTTCAAAGAATGCTGATGTGTACATCTTAGCTCACAAATGCTAGAAACATGCTACAAGAAGAATGAGGAAACATCCTAAAATGTGCAATACAAAGGCGATAAATATTCAGCAATAGGTTCCTAGCCCATTGTGATAAAACTGCAAACATAAAAGATTGTTTTTGGGTACTTATTTACTGTTTTGTTAAAAACTGGTAATTCTAAAAATGGGCATGTAATCATATGTGTATTTTAAACATAAATGATTTTTATGGGAAAGATGGATATTCTTTAATTCATATTTTGTTATACAATATTTAAGGAAACAATTTGATTTTAATATTTGTGAATAAAGTTTACATTTAATGAAATTGCTATTTTTAGCTTGTAGTTGCAAATAATTTCTTTGACAAACAGTATAATTCAGAGTTCAGAATAACTTTATTTTCCTTTGAAGATCTTCTAGTTGATATGTTGGGGGTTCTTGCCAGCTACAGCATCACTGTCAAGGAGTTGAAGCTTTTGTTCAGCATGCTTCGAGGCGAAAATGGAATCTGGGTAAGCTGTGGCCATATAAAGTATTAAATGTCAGTGCATTAGTGCCTGAGGTTAACATAAATGGTCTCTAGCGGCATATGAAATTGATTTTTTTTATGTTAATTGAATTACTGTTTTAAAAGTTTTTAAAAACCGTTTTAGAATTAATTTACTGGTTTGTTTGAAAACTATCCAGTGGCTAATATAGCTATAGAATATCGTTATTAACTGGTTGCATTGACATTTCTACAATTCTGTTGTTTTAACAGCCAAGACATGCAGTTAAACTATTGTCAGTCCTTAATCAGATGCCACAGAGACATGGTCCTGATACCTTTTTCAACTTCCCTGGCTGCAGTGCTGCAGTAAGTTTTTAACCAAGATGCTTCTATTTCTGGGAACAATAAAATAACTTTCTTGCATGCATTACTTTATCGGGTTTGGATATCCTTCTTAAAGAAATGAGGAAAACATTACCCAGTATAATTTTTTCAGAATAGACTAGGTCTTGGATGTTCAGGGAAGCTTGGCAGAACTGACATAATACTGAGGTGATACCATACCCCAAGGTACTTAATGTCAAAAGTAAAAGGAGATATTTTGCATGAGATGGATTAGGAGAGAAGTATTGGGGGGCAACAATTTTTTTAAATAGAAAGTTTACAATAATAGTAAATGATTAAAACGAGGCTGATACTATATAATAAATTAGAAGTGTGTGTGGTGCGTGCGTGTACACATGCATACACAATTATGATGGTGATAGCCCAGTTCTAAATTTTTATCATGTGCCTTTAACTGCCTCACCCAAATAATGTCCACTGAGACTACTGCTAATGTTTTTAAGAGCAAATTGCCAGATAAATGCTATGCTCATTCTCCCCCCCAAATTCTGTACTATCCCTTTCCCGCACTCTCCAAAATACATCTGCCTGAGTCCCAGGACAAGCAATTTTCAGTTTTGGACAGGATCAAGGTGAAATATCTCATGCAACATCATGGCTTAAATTGGAAGCTGTATGTTGGTGAAGAGAGATGATTCTCAGTAACCAGCTGGAGCAGGCACTCGCTTCTGACCTCAAAATGTGGTACTTTTATTCAAGAAAAGCAGCTTTAGATCATTTATACAGGTATGGCTCTCTGAGATCTGTAAATTGGACTCATGGTAACTAAGGTACATACCTTTATAGACCGAAGAATAGGAAAAACAATACCAGTATTTTTTATAAATTCTTAACATATGTTTGCTATATATGATACTTAAAAATTAAAGTATGTTGTGGTGTGGAGTATAAAAGTTTTCTCAACTCTTGTTTGAGATGACTAGCATACCTCATTTGCAGCTTTGAGAGTAATGCCCAATCCAAATCTCTAATGATAAACACTTTATCCTGCTCATGTATACTCATTCATTGTGTGTGTGTTGGTACATATATTACACATTATATATTGTATATATAAAATATTGTATATGTAATATTACCCACAGAAATACATTAAAAGAAAATTAGCAAGCTTGTAAAGTCAAGCACTCAAAAATTAAGAAATGCTAGAATTAAGGTAGCCTATGCAACCTTAATTTGGCCCCCTTGTGTATATGCCTTAGGGATACAATCTCTAATTACATGATCATATACTATTTTTCCACAAGAACCTTGCCTCATTCAGTGCACACAATGGGTGTTACTCAATAAATGAGCAGCTATTCAATATTTTGTTTTATCCTCATTCAGTGTGTGTCCTAGGCCTTATTACTAACCTGCTCTAAATACAGAATGTATTTATTTCTTCATGGCCTTGTCTATGGTGCTCACCACTATGGTATCTGAGTGGTTCACAAACATTATTTTCACAAAACCTGTGTGAAGTGAGGTGGATGATATTATCCTGATTTTACAGATGAAGAGGTGAGCTGAGGCGCAGGGGGGCCGCAGCAAGTAAGGGCGGGGGGGTGCAGAGGAACCGCTCCCCGCCCCAGCTCACCTCCGCTCCGCCGCCACCTCCCCCCATGAGCGCGCCGCAACTCTACTTCTCCCTCCCTCCCAGGCGGTCCTCAGGAGCCGAAAAATCTCACCATGTTATAGGTGAGACCGCGTTACATCGGGGTAGGGAGAGAAACCACTCCCTGCCCCAGCTCACCTCTGCTCTGCCTCCTCCCTGAGCACGCCACCGCTCCGCTTCTCCCTACCTCCCAGGCTTGCCGGGCCAAACAGCTGATTGGCGCGGCAGCCTGGAAGTGAGGGAGAAGCGGAGCAGCGGTGGCGCGTTCAGGGAGGAGGCAGAACGGAGGTGAGTTGAGGCGGGGAGACTCAGGGAGGGCTGCAGCAAGTAACGGGGGGCACGGAGGAACCGCTCCAGCTCATCTCCGCTCTGCCTCCTCCCCTGAGCGCCCCGCCGCCGCTCCGCTTCCCCCCCACCCCCTCCAGGCTTGCCGGGCCAAATAGCTGATTGGTGCGGCAAGCCTGGAAGCGAGGGAGAAGTGGAGCGGTGGCAGCGTGCTCAGGGAGGAGGCAGAGCAGAGGTGAGCTGGGGCGGGGAGTGGTTTCTCTCCGTACCCCGATGTAACGCGGTCTCACCTATAACATGGTGAGATTTTTCGGCTCCTGAGGACCGCGTTATATCGGGGTAGAGGTGTGTATATATAAAACACATACACGATCTTGATGCATTTTGAATAATATTTGGAATGAGGCCAAAGGAGGATAAAAGAATAGTAAGTATGAATAATAATGGGGAAAATTAGGAAAGATTTTATATATATAATGCACATAAATAAATAAAAATGAGGATATATTTCCTAATATATAAAAATAAAAGGATGGGATTAAAAAACACCTTGAAAAAATGTACCAAAATTAAAATCTTTGTTCTGCATATATCTTATTGTCTTATTTAGGGACAATATGGACTTACTTAAGAGAGTCAATGGGCTTACTTAAGAGAATAAGCCCAATGCGTGGGAGTATTCAGAGGATCGCTCACTCAGGTTGTAAACTCTTCAGGACACACATCTGTCTTGTTATATAAATGTAAAACACATAGCCTTTACTCCCAACTTGCCAAGGCTCAAAAGTGGGACAAAATGTATGACAGACTCCGAAATTAGACACACAAATTATTCATATGGAGAACCTATAAATGGTGTGGGATTTATTCTTTTGGTGCTAATAATTTTCTTTATTTCTGATGGAAATAATTTGATGGAAAAAGGCAGTTCTTCGAGTGATGGTCCCTGTTGTTTTCAACTGTGGGTTTATGCATGCGCACCATAGTGCCCTGAGGCAGAGAATTGGAAAGTAGCATCGATTGGTCTGCGCATGTGCACTGGCTCACCTGGTGCCTTTGACTGAGGGGTTAAATGGATGGGCGGACTGACCGCTTCTCCAGTTCCTTCTCACTGCCACATGGTCTGGGTCAGCGTCCACAGCTTCAACTTCATCCTACAAAATAAAAATAATCTAGTTTGTAAATAGTTTTAATAATTTTTAATCTTTAAAATGAGATTAATCTCCAGGGGGATACCCTTTCTCACCCATACTCCGTTCGGGTACCAGACCATGCCCCGGTCTCTGGGCTTCAAACTCTGTGCTTCTTGCCCGCGATCCTTCTCAATCAATGACGACCAACAGAGCTGCCTGTACGCCCTTGGGAAAGCTCTTATTGCGGCAAGGTGCAGTATCAGCCAATTGTTCGCCAGCCATACCCAAGAAAGGTAGGGATTTCGTCTCTGCAAATACCTCATGGAGAAGGCCATGAGACCTCAACTGAACCCAGGCCAGGGAAACTCCCAACCCCCTGTGCATTGGCCTGATTCATCAAGGAGTTTACCTCCTGCTGCAAAGTCCAGCTCTACTGTGGGTGTATCTACCCCTACAGACACCATGGTGGGAAGCTAGGAAACACTATCATAAGCACGATATTAATTCTTCCTCAAAGTCCACTTCAGAGAAGTCTGACTTGGCTGTAAGCAAGCCTTGCAGCTCAGCCCATGAGGACTTAGGATGTACTAAGTCCCAGAGGCACGACAAGAAAGTCCAGTATCAAACCATGTTCTGTTGGTGCCATCATCCTTGGCTACTCCCAAACTCCAGGATGCATCAGCACTGACTAAGTCAGATCACCGCCAACTTCAGATACCACCCTTATCACTGGCTCCGATGGGTCAGACAAGCAGAACCCCTCTCACACCAGGGAGATCTGAATCTGTTTCAGCCCCACAGGATATTTTCACTCTCCTGGATTTGGAATCCCCTCCTTCATCAGGCCCCTCCAGTATTCCCTCCATTTCCGGGGAGACAATATCACCACCAAGAGAATCAACCTCTGGAAGGAGCTTATCACCAATGGCATTGAGTACCATCACTGGAACTGCAATCAGCCTTCTCCTCGTCGGGAGATTCTGAATCATTGGATGAACTGCTCTTTCCTTACATATTCTCCACCACTCAGACAACCCACACACATTTGGGGCCAACCTCCGCTGCCTCTAACTCAGAGCTGTTGGTACCCCACGCTATGGGGACCACTGCAACCACCTATTGATCCCTCTTACTAGCCATATTGAGGGCCTTGGAACCAGTAACCCATGCAGAATTGATCCACTCTTCCAGGGTGTCACCCCTTGCCTCCCCTCTAAGGTCTGCCCCTGGATCTGACAGAGGAAGAGGAACATTATGCTTCAGATCCGATGGTTGCACGGGAACCAGCAGGACTGCCATTGTCATCCCTGGATGAAATGGTGACTTCCACATCCCTTCCCCTATGACTTTAGGCAGTCCCAGAACCTTCTCTGCAGAGTTGCTGGAGAGCTGCAGGTTCCCCTTGAGGAGATCCAAGATTCTCAGCACAAACTCCTAGACATCCTACATGCTTCTTGACCCAACAGAATAGCTCTCCCCATTAATGAAGCCATACTGGAGCTAGCTAGGATACTTTGGCATACCACTGCCACTTGCATGCCAACCTCTAAAGAGGCAGCGAAGCATTATTAGGTGCTGGCTGCCGTGCAGAATTTTTGTTTTCTCATCCTGATCCCAATTCACCAGTAGTCCATGTCACTTCTGAAAGGGCTAGACAGCAAGATCCCCAGTCTACTCCTCCTCACACAGGGCAAATGCTTGGATCTGCTGTGAAGAAAGGTCCAACCATCCAGCCTCCAGTTCAGGATAGCCAGTTACCGGGCGCTACTGAACAATGCCAAGTTTGGAGAGTTTACTGACAGCCTTCCACAACAGGACTGAGCTCACTTTCAAGCTCTGATTCATGACAGAAAACTGATAGCCTGGACTGCCTTCCAATCTGCAATGGATGCCACTGATACCTCTTTTAGAGCTATGTCATATGCAGGGAGTCATGGCTCCATGCA